AGATACTTCATCGGGGATTGAACCAGCGACACGAGATGGTTACGAAAAGCGAAGTTGAAAATTTTGAACTTTAAAATTATTTTAATTTGCTAAAAAGAAATATCTAAGCTCTAGATTTAAAAATTAATAATAATTTAATCAAATCGATTTTACTATTGATATTCACACACGGGTGGAGAGTAGATTCTGATCCAAACGCGTGTGATAGAGAGCACTTCACATAAGACTAAATAGAGCAATAAGGGGTAGGAGGAAAAGTCATTATTCTTATTAACATATGGGTGGAAAGTAGATTCTTATTCACACATGTGTGATATAGAGCTCTCTTCAGACTAAAAGTGCCAATATCCTCACATATGTGCTATAGGGTTTTTCATCCGTAGGACTAAAATAGCGATTTTTTCAGCCGGATTTCTTGGAGGTTACGGAGGTGGTCATTTTGGAGGATATGGTGGGGGATCAGGTCCCGTTAGGATAATAAGAGTAGTACACCACGGTGGCGGTGGATACGGAGGCGGCTTTGGTGGATGGGGACCATCACCAGGATGGGGACCGCCACCAGTTCGTGTTATTAAAGTTGTTCACCACAGTGGAGGAGGAGGAGGTAAGTCATTTATAAATATCTTTATAAACAATATATATAGTAATAACATTTTTGTCTACTGTCTTACTGCTGGAAGATTTAAAATTTTTAAATTATTTTGTTACCAAAAGTCATAATAAACTCCTTTGAAGAAAACATTGATTTAGAGTTCAAATCATAATCAAAATAAGTTTCTCTTAATAATAGCCTCGACATTTAATTTTATACATCGTTATTTTCTCTCTCCATGTGTGTTATCCTCACTCTAACTACAACTGTTGGGTTGGCTACAACAATTACCTCCTATCATCGTTGCTTTAAATATTATCCTTAAGTCTTAGCGGTTGTATTAAATGACATTTTAGGATGTGTATTTTGACACTCAAAGTAGGAAACACAACAACATGTTGGTGAATTTAAAAAGAATTGGGATTTGCGCATGAGTAATAGATACTACCAATAAGAAGTTAGGTCTATAGAACAATAAATTTAAAATTTTCTTTTTTGAGTGTGATTTGGAAAGATCATAATTGCACCTGTCAAAGTTTTGTTTCTATTCTAAAATACATTTTTGTTTTAGGTTGGTGGTAACTGCTTCATTAACAGATGTTATTTAAAAAAAAAATGTAAGATATTGTAAACTGTAATAAAAGCATTAAAATAAGTATTTAAAAAAAAATTGTAACATATTGTAAATTGTAATAAAAACTTTATTTATACTTTTTATTTGCTTTGACGAGAACCTATCCTAATTTGCAGATGTCTAAAAAAATGTAAAATATATATTTATACCAAAAACAAAATATAGTATCTTTAGTGATGCCGCGAGACAAGACGAGACGAGAGAGGCTACTCTCTCATCTCGTCTCGTAGGACGAGAGAAAACTGTTCTCTCGTCTCGACGAGAAGGCGCTTCTCTCGCTCGAGAGAGCCTCTCTCTCGTCTTGTCTCGTCTCGTTTCTCTCGTGATAAAACAATATCAAATTTAAATTTGAAAAAAACGAAACATGAAAAAACTGTAAAAGTTTTAAGACAAAAACAAAGAATTTTTCATGTAATTTGCACTAGTACCCAAATTTGGCAATAAGAAACACTTATGTCTCTCTGTCTGTCCGTCTGTCACAGTCGTTTTACAATTGAAATTTAAAGTAATAAGTGGCCCGGATTAGGCGTTAACTAAAAACGAAAATACTTTGTCTTGTAAGTCAGTCAGGGGAGGGGGGAAGAGGTTAAATTGGAAGTTAGAATTTTTCTAATGCAATCCTGCGATGTCAAATGAAAGCATTTTGTAATATGTTTTCAAAATGCAAGAAGATAGAGACATAAAACAAAAACGATGTGAAATTAGAGAAACATTATGATATTTTTGTTATAATGAGATGCACTTTACTACAGACGTAAAATAGAGGGCGTTACTATCTTTAAATTTTCTAATGGAAAGTAAAGTCATGTAATACCTCATTTGAAAGATATTTTGATTATATTTACGTCCAAGCAAACAGTTTTAATGTTTTTTTGTTTTTACAAAAATTACATTCTTGATAATCCTCGTATGCCGCAGTAATCTTAGAAATGATAGATAATGTTGGAAGAGAATTTTTTAATAAGCTTTTTTTTGCCAAAAGTTATGAAAAATTTAATACGTCAAGTGATTTTGAAATCACCTTTGATATTATTAATTTATTTATTTTAGTAAATACAAGGAGCGTTTCTTTAGTAATAAACACTAATTGTTAATATGAGAGTTATCAAGAATGTAACTTATTAGTAAAGGCCTAGTACATGTCTGTATAAACAAAGTACCAGCTATAAAAAATTGCCATTTGTGCAGTGTTAAATCCCTCTAACAGTAAAAAATTACTTAAATTTATAAAAGATACTGACATTTTTACTCTGTACTAGCCAAAATGTTAATTATCCATTGAATACTATTGTAAAAAAGAGCATTTATAAGGTATTATAATGATCCTTTAAGGTTAAAGGGGTAAATAAAAAAAAAGAACTTACTCTACTTTATGAATTTATTTAATGTAATTTCTATAAAAACATAAAAACCTAAATCTGTTTACATGAACGTAAAAATGTAGAAAATATCTTTTAAATGAGGTATCACATGACCCTACTTTCCATTAGAAAATTTAAAGCTAGTAACTCCCTTTATCTTACGTGCCCCAAGTAGAGTGCATCTCGTTATAACAAAAATATAATATCTCTTGAGTTTTACCTCATTTTTGTTTTGTCATTATCTTTTTTTATTTAGAAGTTAAAATAGTACAATTTTCGTCCTCACTGTATATAATGCATTCGTTTACATTACCTTTTCTTTGACAGTTTTTCGAAAAAAAGCTTAAACATTTTCAACTTATCTTCAAAAGTAAACTCAGAAAAGCAGAATGGGTTAAATATAAGAAATGATTGTATAAATTTTAAACAAATGAAATGAGAAATATTTTTTCTTATAAATCACTATTTATAAAATCCTAATAACACACACAAGTATCATCTGTTACCATTTAATATATATATATAGAATAGGTGTGGTATAGTTAACTTTTTGACTATCTCGAAATATGTTAAAATTTCAAGTTACAAGCAATAATTTCAAATTTCAAATAAGCAAAGAGAAAATTGTTCGAGAGAGCCCGAGAGAGCTCGAGAGAAAAGAAAAATTCTCGTCGAGAGATGACACTCTCTCGTCTCGTCTCGAATTTGTTTTCGAGAGAAAATGTCTCTCTCTTCTCATTCGTGACGAGACAAGACGAGACGAGAGACGAGAATCTCTCGTCTAGCGGCATCACTATATCTTTCATCATTTTTTTGGCTGTGTTACATTATAATCATATTCACTCAGTGCGAAGTCATGGTAGGGGAAGCAAAAGAGATACTAGCGCTAGCTGCGGATAATTCGTGAATTTTAGGGCGATATTTTGTAATTTTGGCATATCAAAAACACGTATACATTTTACTTTTTTTTTCAAAAAATTAGGTAAAAACAATACAAAAAGCAACCGGAGTTGCTGTGTTGTAATTGTAAAAATACTACCAAAAAAAAAGTGTAAATTTTAAAAATGTTCAGTAGCAAAGTGGAAATTAAATCAAAGAAATAAATGGATATGTAAACAATAAGAGGAAAAATTACCTTTATTTTTCTAATAATAACAGTAATACTGGAACTAGTAGAAATCAGAAACTTGAAAGGTTTTAGATAAACAATAAATATCATTTTACGATGTTCTTCAACCTACCTTTAATTTTAAATGTTCAGCAAGAACTAGATTTCTGCCTTTGATTATTGTATGTGGCTGGAATGCAATTTTGTGACTTACTGTTAGGAAAACAGTTTTAATCATTCATTCTGTTTTCTTTCACAAAAATGAAAATGTAAATACATTTTAACTTCACACTGTTATTCAAAAGTTTTTTATTTTTACAGAATAGGTTAATTCTTCAAAGACAACTTATTAGACTTAGGCAACTTCTCATACATTTTCCTGTAAATATTGTTGCCTGCCTTTATTTTATTATTGATTTTTATTAAAATTTATTTTTTTTAATTTAAGTGATAAAAATATGTAATAATAATAAATGTAATGTTATACTTGTTTTACAAATCCATATACTTTTATTAAAACTAGCATATATACTTTATAATTACGAATTCTATTAAAAATTGTATTTTCAGTATAGGCAAAAATAGTCCATTAGTACAAAAATGAATTGGTGCTGCTATCACGCAAGGAGCGAATAAGTATTTTATTTTACGAATGGCGAAATTGTCTTTCTAATAATAAAAATTTGGTGATCGTTTTCCCGAAGTATAAAATCTTATGGTGTGTGGTTAATATCAGATTAAAAAAAATATTTTTGAAGCTCTAGTTCGATGCCAATGCTAGTTACCAATCAAATATATTGATCTAATTATATCAGTAGTTTCTTCATATAACATTTCCTATGACACCATCAGCAATGTAATTATAATTCTTAAAAGTTTAATTTTTGTTTTAATAGATGTTTACAATACACTTTTTAATTCACTCCCTTGTGTAGGGTAAGGGACGGATATTATTATTATTATTATTTATTATCATTTGCCGTGGCGCTCCGGGGCGACTTAAAGATGATTGATGGTACCATTTGACTTACAAGTGGAGAAAACCCGGAAAACCCTCCCACCATTATCTAAAACGGTAACGCATGTTGATTTTTATAATCTGGATGTCATATCAAGAGAAATTAAATTTCTGCTAATACGGCATCCATCAAATCCTATAGAGAACCATGCAAATAAATTCACATGGTCTTCTGTAGGATTCGAAATTGCTGTCTCTTTTACCCCAAAACTGGCTTGCACATGAATGCGGTGCATTATAAGTTAGAATTTGAATTATTTAGGGCGATTTTGAAATGCAGAAAAATCAAATTAGACAAAATATTTATTAAAATATAAAAAAAGATCACATTCTTTGAGGCACTTAATATTAAAATCACATTGTATAAGTAGCGTCCATGCACTTCACTTAAGCACATCTTAAAAAAAAACATTTATTAATAGGATCCAGCACTTGAAAATGCACCTGAATAAGCTGAAAAAAATTATCAATCATCAGTCAATATATAATAAATTAACATAAAAAATCAAGAAAGTTAAACTAACATTTAATTATACTATAAATTTAAAAAAAAATGATGTATGAAAGTGAAACTGATTTTAGACCATCCTGTGCAAAATTTTTAATTTGTTAAAAAACATCACTCTCATTGAAATAGTGTTTATAAAGATACTTCTCACAGACCTGAAGAAGATCCATGACTGGAAGCTCCACTGTGAGCAAAAGATCCAGCACCAAAAGCTCCTGGAACCTCTCCTTGAAGTCCACTGTATTTTAGACTCTCTGACAATATATCTTTAAGGGCTTTAAAATTAGCATCTTGTCCGTTGCCACTGTTTGCGGATGAGAAGGAACCTGCATTAGAGCCACTGAAAGCTCCACTTCCACTATATGAACCACCGTTTATTGGAATGTGGGCACCACCTTTTACTAAATATAAGGGAATTTCATTAAGGACTAGTTTAGAATATAATTAAAAAAGGGCATAATAAATATGATAAATATTTTAAAACTAACCTCCTCCAAAATTGGAAGCACCTGAAAAACTCCCAGACTGTGCACCGGAATGACCTCCAAATTGAACTGCATTGATTCCGTGTCCACAATTACCATTTCCACATGGTCTATCAGAATTTTCAGATTTGGATCCAGAAATACCTCCAGAAATACCTCCAGAATACGCTCCTCCATTTCCTGGTTGACTAGATGTACGACAGTTACCTTTGGTACATGGCTGAACTCCAGAATATCCAGAATAACTACCTGCATTCCCTCCGATATATTGTCCACCATAACCAGGTTGATTTGGTAAACTACATTTGCTTCCACTGCAAGGCTGTCCGTGTCCAGCTTGATTGTTGGGAATATGGACATCAATTACAGGAACTTGTTGGCCATCAGCTTTTTGTACAACAACATTTCCAGAAACAAATCCTTGCGAATTTAAGCCTAAAAAATTTAAATAATGTAAAATAACTTTGGATGTACGTATTAAAAAAATAATAATAACCTGGAAGTAATTGGCATGTTCCTGAAGAACATCCATTATTCTTGTTATATGGATTGTTTAATGAGTGGTCTAAGGGGAGATGTCCAGTACCTGGTAAATTATCGTCTCCAGTCTCTGTAAATAAAACATGTATTTAAGTATAAAAAAATCTATATTTTTCTGGTATATACAACCTTTGAATGAATTGGCTCCTGCGTTAGCCACACTTCCAGATCCGGAATATTTTCCCCCAAATGTGCTATCTTGATTTCCCGGCCTTGGGAGTTCTTGATTTCCTTGAGGTGGAACACCTATTAATACTGGCAGTACTACAGGCGAGACTGATGGCCCATTATTACTTGTGGGAGGCACAAATGGTGAAGGAAAAAGCCTGTCTTTACCCCCAGCTCCGCACTGATTTCCATGACATCCCGGCGTACTTGGTTCAGGTTGATTTGGGGCAACGTGAGGTAATGGACAGGAGGAACCACTACAACTGTAATAAGTTTTGCCGGGCTCCTCTGGGTGAGAACCGCCTGGTTTAGGAAGTTCACAAGATTCCCCTGTACATTTATAATATGTACTGCCAGGTAATGGTTGAGGGAGACTTCCCTCAGGATGATTTTCATGATTGAGATTAGGCTGATCATCGTGGCTTTTTTTAGGACGATCATCTTGAGTGGGTCTAGGATGATCCTTCTCATGACTTGGACGGTGAGGTTTAACATGGTGCCGATGATACGGCTTATTTCCTGGAAGTAAGAAATCTCTACTTTCTCCTGGTTTTTCTTCATGAAGATTAGGATTAGATGTAGAAGATTCTTTGGGATGGTGTTGAGTTGATGGATAATCCGCTTCTACGGGAATGTCATTTGGAATATGATCAGGTTGTTGGTCAATTTGTACATTGATTTTTTCTTGATTATTTGAACTGTGTGCGTTAGCATTGCTATTGGAACTGGTGTGCTTGCTATTATCGGAAGGCTCTTTATGAATAGGATTATAATAATTGTCGGGCTTTTGCCTAAGGTCAATGTCGAAATCTAGTTTTGGATGCTCAGGACTAATTTTGTGATCGACCTTTTCTGGCTTAACAGGCTCTGGTACAACAACTACAGGTACATTAACTTGAGGTCCTTCATGATCTAAACATTCAAATCCAGAACAAGTTTTACCTGGTGTACCAGGAAGAGATTTTTCAGGATAGTAAGCTCCATTAATATTACATTGGCCTCTAGAACAATCAGGTTTATAATTTCCTGGTGTAGGTTGATTGAAATTATAATTAATATTTCCATTTTGGTGTTGAGCGTTACTATTACTTTGCGTTTTATCATCTGATCCAGAATGTCCATAAGATGGTTTCTTTCCAGGACCAAAACAATCATCACCATGGCATCCTAATCTACCTCCAAATTCGTCACATTCACCGTGAGTACAGTCTGGATAGCCAGGTTTATTATTTGGTTCGGGTCTAAAATCAGGCTGATTTAAGCATTGACCATTAATGCATCCATGTCCACTCACAGGTTTATTGTTATTGTTGTTTCCTGGTTGGCCTGGGAAATCATATGTACCGGGTACGATAGAAACAGGAACTTGTTGAATTACAGGTTTACCAACTTCAACACTATTGTGAATATTTCCAGTAGGGCCTGGTAATTTTCCTATAACACTTACAGCTATAGCGCCGGGTTTTGGTTGAGGTGCTTCTTGGTTATATGTAGGTTGATTTTGAGGACCTTGGTTGTATGTGTGTTGATTGTAAGGACCTTGATTAGTGGGTTGATTATGAGGACCTTGGTTAAATGCAGGTTGATTGTGAGGACCTTGGTTATATGAGGGTTGATTTTGAGGGCGTTGATTGTACTGAGGGCCACCAATAACTACTGGAATAATACCGACTGGTATTTTACCACCTCCTGGATTAACTGGTTTACTATCATAAATACTACCTGGAGATCCAGGAAATTTACTGATATCTATAGGTGGTCTAACTAAAGGCGGCTGAGTCTGTTGTTCAGGTATCCAAGCAGGTGGACCGCCTTGTGGTGCTGGCTTGTAATCATTTATATTGCCTTTGGGTCCTGGAAAAGGCCCCTTACAACTTTTACAGCTTCCTGGCTTAAAGGAGCCTGCATTGGAATTCGCATACGAATTTTCGATGGATCCTGATTGAATATACGTGTGTTGTTCTGGAATTTTCTGTATATCAGGAATTTTTTGTACGCCGCCACCTTGTGGAACTGGTTTGGAATCATAGATACTACCTTGTGGACCTGGGAATTGATGTTTTGGTGTATCGGGAAATTGAGTTTTTGGCGAGTATTCTTCTGGAATTTGAAAATCGTTCACACGGATATTGTTACCACTTGCTCCTAGAAAAAAAAAATATATATGAGAATCAAGATACATATTTATTAAACTTATTTCAAAATATACATTCATAAATCTGAATTACCTGCATAACTATTGGCTCCATTTGCTGGTAAAATTTTATCTGAATCTTGACCAGGAGCTCCAATTCCTACAATAATTCCTGATCCTGAGTAACGTTGGCTACCAGAAATACTACATCCTGCATTTCCACCGCATGGTGTTTCAGATATTTGCGGATTTAACTTGTCATTTGCTGAAGCAGTGTGTGAACTTCCTGTTGCTGGAACCAATCCTGGTCCTAGATTATGAGGTCCTTGCCCAGATATATATGATCCAGATCCTGAAGTTGTTCCCGAACCACCAGCAACAACTGGAATGTGACCTGGTCCTGTATTATGAGGTCCTGAACCAGATATATATGATCCAGATCCTGAAATTGCTCCCGAACCAACAGCAACAACTGGAATGTGCCCTGGGCCTGTTTCACCTCCATAAGCCTTATTGCTTTCTCCACTATAATGACCTAATCCTTGAGATGACCCAGATCCTGATACCGATCCAGAGCCTGCATAGGAACCTGATTGCGAGTTTAAACCTGTTCCTGAAAAAGATCCAGAACCAGAGAGAGCTCCTGATCCAGTACCGGCAAAAGCTCCGGAACCTACTTTAGCCGAGGCTCCATCTGTACCGGAACCGGCAAAGGCGGAAGAAAAAGCTCCACTGCTAGCTTTTAAAGCATTGTTGGAACCATCTGAGTCTGCAAGTCCTGATGAATAGGAGCTACTGAAAGCTAAAAATATTACGTTAAAGGAAAACGTTAAGTGTACAAAAGAAGAAGAAAAAAATGTTCATTTTTAAGAAACTACTGTATATGTTTTGATTAAATTACTGGTACAAAGAATTGTATCTAATATTATGTAATTATTAGATTTATTTATTAGTTTTTTCTTACCTGAGGAGGATGCTGACGCAGATGAGCTACCTATAAAAGAATTGTTTTTTATATCACTATTGTTAACGTAAAATTACAATTGCAGATACAAATTTGAATTCCGTCATAACCTATTAGCATAATTTAAATTAGAAAGACTGAAAATTACGTAACGCTTAAGGTGTATATATTATTACAATCTAATAGAATTTTAAACTAATAAAAATTGAAGAGTAAAATTTTTCACATTACTCTTGGTAGAAACAAAATCATTGTGGTTTCCCTTTTCAAAAACTAATAAAGGGAGGGGTTATGATCAGTTCAATCTGTAAAATACTACAACAAAGAAATTAAAAGAAGACGAAGAAAAAAAAGAAGAATGAGAAATGCACGTCGATGACTGAAAGGAACTAGTTTTTGAGTGAGACTCTTCAATTTGATGAATAATCTTTTTATAATGATTAATGAAGAATGGAAATGACAATTAAGTCAGATCATGTCTTGGGAGATAGTGGTACCGATTTGAGTCCTCAGTAACAGGTTAAAGATCTTGATTAAGAGAAGAAGTCTTCATATGTCAAATTAGACGGGTTAAAGGTCTGTAAAACAATGGAAAGAGTTAGAAGTAGTTGAACGTATATCGAGATGTAAATAAAGAAGGGAATCCAAGTCTTAAATGGGGTTATTTTTCAATGAGATTTTTAGGACACTATGTAATATGGCTACTTACTGTAACTCTTATTAATTGATCCTTTTACGCCATGTCCATAACTGAATGCTGCAATAAAAAAACCGAATTAGTATAAAATAAATAAATGAGAAATACACACAACCAAACTTTTATGGAATCACCCAGTATTTTCAGAAAAAAAAGGTATTTATGTTAAAAATGTCGTTGTATATTTCAACATATTTTGTTGCAGCAATTTAAGAAATAAAATAAAATTACTTATACCATAAGATCAATAATGCGGGCGAACCACCCAATTTTTGTAAGTAAAAAAACATTTTTTAATTTGCAAGCAAATTTGTTATTGTAAAATTCTCTGTGATTTCTTACAAGTTTGGTTTTGTTTGTGTGTAGTAGAAAAATAATGGTAAATCAAAACATCAAATAATGATGGATTGATAAGAATTTATCGATTTTAATGACGATTAGTGGAATATACTCGTATTAGAAGAAACACTATTATAGTGTTCATAATAAAAAAACTACGACTATGATTATAAGAATGTAAATTAAAACACATAATTTGATGAGATAAAAAAATCAGATTAATTGTATTATTTAACATATTGAGAATATATTAAAACACGTTGCTATATTTATCAAAGGTGAATATTTTATTTATGAGAATTCTTATTTAAATGTATGTAATAAATAAAAAAAATAGTATAATCACTGAATTAAATACGGCTATTATTCCAAGAATGATTTAGTTTGCTCAAGGTTTTTGGTTATTCCATTCTCAATTTTAGATGATGGGTAGGTAATTATATATACGAAAATATATACGTGGTTTCCAAATTGTTTTGCTTCGACAACTTTTTTCCATGTTAAACTAAGAAGAACAAAATCAAATGATGTTTTTAAGTAATTATCTAATAAATGAGATCATTTCTATTCTGATATGAAAGTTCTTGTCTTACATTTAGTCTAAAGGACGAGTTTAATAAACAATTTATTTATATGTACAGAATAACTCAATACATTAACTATTTAGAAGACTATAATAGTAGTTTGTGCAACAAGAGTATGATATGGTCATATCGCACGATACGAAGTTTGGGCACGACGCTCTAAGCGGAGAGCTCAATTAATTGTCTGAGTGCGATACGGATAACTCGAAGTACAGTATATTTTGTCTACGATCCACTAACGAAAATCTACTAATTTTACAAATTATTTTAGGTTATTAAGATAAAATAACTAATTTAAAAATAATTTATAAAATAAAATAAACTTGAAAAACAAAGATTTAATTGGTCTCCAATCCTAGATTTGAACCGGGGTCTCTCGCATGACCGTTAAATACGAAACTCTTAGCTCCATCCACACACCTAACATATTAGTTTTAATACTCATAATTAAATTGATTTATTTAAATTTATTATTTAAACAGATCATCAACAATATGTCGAATATATTATATATCTTTCAAAAATATTAAGCTATAGCTGGCGTCCCTCAGCGATCTAATCTTGGCCCTCTATTATTTTTACTTTCCTCAATAACCTATTATATGCTGATGATTTTAAAATCTTCGGTGATGTGTAAACATTATTTATTTATTAAAAACATTTAAAGCAAACCACCAACTAACATTGTACTCTTGAAATTAAGTGACCATTTGTTTAGTAAAGAACTGGTATCTTAAAGTCTAAAATAATTTGGTGATTCGGTGCCCCGTCCTTTTTTACCGTCTGTCACTATTTACGAGATTTTATCAAAAAATTGGGTAAAATATTAAAAAACTAATATTCAAACAATAATCAGTCACTTAATACTAATAAAAATCACTAAAGACTAATGTTCATACTATTGCTATGTGCTATTGCTGCTCCCACTGGCTCTGACAATCGGAATCGATACATAATGCTGATATTTGCTGTCAAACATAAATTTACAGGGCAAGGAAAATTTTTAGAAATGAATGAAAATGTTCTTTAATTTTAAATTATTTGAATGCATTTTTTTGTGAATAACAAATTTTCCTTGTCCTCAAAATTGAAAGATGTGAAATACATGCCAAAGCAAGAATGAAAATATGTCAAAATGTATTAGGTGTAAAATTCAAATTCTGAACGTAACTCCAATAAACAAAATAAAATAAATTTTCCATCCATAAACAAAATTGAGTAAATGATTTGACTTGAGTTTGACGTTGGACAAAATAGAGACTATATGAGAGTACAGTTTTGTTATTTATTTTATTTTGTCTATTGGTCATATTTTTATTATTATTATTATATTATAATATGAAACACCTTGTATATCATCACGAAATGTTTTCAATACAAATGTCATTTTAAGTAAATATTGTTTAATAAAAATAGTAAAATTTATAATAGTTTTATAACTAACGCGTCAGTCTCCACAAAGTTGTGAAACAAATCATTGAATATGAATTAAACACAATGTTATTAATTTTCAACTATTCAATTTTAAAGATATTGTGAATGGGTGTCAAATTTGAAGGGTAAAGCAAGAACACCAATTTGAAGGGTAAAGCAAGAATTTATCATTGTATAATGAATTTGTGTTGAATCATATAGGTATTTAAAAATATTATTGAAGCCATAAAAAAAATTGATGATTGAAATATTCAAATATATAATTTCGAAGCTAATTTGTCTTTTAGGTGTTTACTGTTTCTTTATTTCAATTATTAGCAGTCCCTTTTTACATAAATTTTTGTGGATAGGTGGATAACTTAGAGATACATAATATATGGTACAGCCGTTGTGCTTCATCAAATGAAAATAAAACTGTGATGATATATTTATACAGAAGAATATTTGTCTTAACAAAAAAAATTAAAAGATATCACACTAAACTTTAAGAACCTAATAAAAAAGTATCTTATTTTTCTTGGAAAACTACAGTAACATAACAAAGATAATTGACAAACAAGTTGTCTTCATATTGATATTATTTTGCCCACATTTACATACCGTTAAATTATTTGCATGCTGTCCTGTGGCTTTTGCGGTTTCAAATTCTGTTTTTTTTTTTGTACCTAGTATTATGTATGTGGGAGATTCTTGATTATTTTTATTTTTGTAGACACGGCATTCTATAGAAATATCATTTTCGTAAACTAAATATCTCGGAAAAGGTATTTTTGTCCAACTTTAATATCTTCCTTCCAATAAATAATATGAAAAATAGGAAAGACATGTCAACTTTATTTTCAAGAGGGGACACTTTCAATGAACATTTTTAGCCGTCATGGTTAAAGCTCCTAGGAGGGGCAGTGTTACCCTTGGAATCTTTAATGGAAAGGGGTTAAGTAACACATAATTTGAAAGCTAATTTTATAGAAAATTCAACAATATGACTCTTAGTTTCGCTGCTTTTGAGGGTGAGATGTTTTCAAATTGATGATTTATTTAGAAAACATCAAAAAACATAAAAAGTAGATAAGCAAAGTATGTACCGCGATATATATAGGGAATTCAATGTGTTAGAGAGAGAGAGAGAGAGAGCTCCCCAGCCGCAATGCGATCGAGAGAGATAGATGTGTATATAATCAATCTTACGTGACGTAGGTGGGTGACGTAGATTAACGTTGAAGAGAAAAATACACGCAGTAGCAAAGCCAAAAGGGCCCAAGTCCATATCTTCGTTGGTATTGGTCCGATTTACATGCAACAAACGGCGTTGTGAGGGAAAAGTGGTGTAGATTAACGTTGAAGAGAAAAATTAGGCGTAGTAGCAAAGTCAAAAGGAGCTGCGTCGATATCTCAGCTATTATTGGTGCAATTCAAACGAAAAAAAACGGCGTTGTGAGGAAGAAGTGACGTAGATAACCGTTAAAGAGAAAAATCATGCGCAGTGACAATGTCAAAAGGACCTACGTCGATATCTCAGCTATTATTGGTGCAATTCAAACGGGAAAAACGGCGTTGTAAAGGAGAAGTGGCGTAGATTAACGCTGAAGAGAAAAATTACATACAGTAGTGATGTGACAATAATGAGAAGAATATATTGTAGAAGAATAATATAACATCGTTAGTATTGAGATGGCTTCGGTAGAATACGATTGTAAATTAAGGGAATTTTTTAAGAAACTTCACCAACTTAATAAAAACATCCACCAACTTAATAAAAACATCCACCCACCTACGTCACGTAAGATTATATACACATCTATCTCTCTCGATCGCATTGCGGCCTGGGAGCTCTCTCTCTCTCTCTCTCTCTAACACATTGAATTCCCTATATATATCGCGCTATATACTTTGCTTATTTATAAAAATACAGTCCAAATAAGTTTTTGGGCAGTGGCGTAAAATTTGTATCTTATGACGCCAAAAATTTTTGCCAAATTTAGTAAAATTATACTACTAATATTTTATTTAAGCATGTTTTGTTTATTCGTCTCATTTTTAATCAGAGAATTTTCAGTTATAGTGTGTCCCATTATTAATGAGACCCTGTATAAAACGTTCAGTTTAGTAGTAAGGAATATATGTGTATATTTTAATAAATAGAATTTATCTTAATTTTTAAAGATGATATTTACATAGAAATTGGTAAAATGGGGAAAAAGTTGTATATTTCAAAACACAGTCTAAGGACGTCATAAAAACCAAAATATTAGGGCCAGTTTCCGAGATATTCAATAAACAACAAATTAATTTCATTTCTTTATTCCACTACAAACCGTTTATTTTCAAAAATAGACAAAAACTCATTTAAGGTATTTTGTTTTATACTAAGTTGCGCATACGACAGCACATTCCTTTTTAATCCGACGTTTCGTGAATGCAGGAACATCATCAAATTCTTTATTTGAATATGGACCAATGCTACTCCAAGAGATTATTTTAATGTATGTCCAATAATGTAATAACATATAGTAATTAGGTTTAGTAAAATACTGTATATTAAATTCCAACGGCAAAATTTTCATCTGCGGTTGTAATTTTGACACAACATGTTGAAATTACATAAATACATAGTTACAAATATGAAACTGTAAAATATTTTTTCAAATAAATTATTTTTCGAATTAGTAATAAAATTAACTAAAGAGAAATTAATGTACGTTTAGCTTTTGAAATGTAGTTAATTTTTATTACAGGTCCGTACTAGTAAGTAAACGTACTTGATGATGTTCAAATTTTCGAAATATTGACTAGTCACAATATTATGTTACAATATTATATTCAGCATTCAATATAAATTAAATTGATTAATCAGAATATAATGGTTTATATCCACATAAAGAAGTTGATGGTGGTTTTAAATTTACCAAACGTCGTATAAAAAAATTAAATGTACTGTCATATACAAAACGTGATATAAAATAAAAAAATTTATATGAGCTTTTGTCTATTTTTGAAAATAAACGTACTGCAGTGGAACAAAGAAATGGAACCAATTTGTTTTCTATCGAATATCTCGGAAACTATCCCTGATATTTTGGTTTTCAAGACGTCCTCATATTGGGGCTTCAAAATATATAACTTTTTCCACATTTAACCAACTGTTTGCGAGATAGCAATATGTCAATTTAATTAAAAAGTGACCATCCTGTATAAAAACTGTCTGATTATAACACTTTACTACGATACTTTGTTAATGGATACACTTAAATTTTCAAACCAGTTGTACTTAACAAACAATTTGAAAACCAAGACACTACGCAATTATAAATCCGGCACGTGAATTTATTAATTGAGAAAAACCACTAAAACAAATGAATCACTTACACCTTCCCACACTGACGGTTAACAGCAACAACAATAATAAATAAGTATGTTTCATGGCCGATGCTTATTTTTGCACGACCAGTTCTTGACTGGACCAAAGATAAAGAAGCTTAGTATTTATATGGACGTCAAGTTCAAGTTTTAGGCGTTTTAAAAAATACGAATCAGTATGGGAATCGGAATTCTTCAAGATTCAGTTTTCCACATAAGGGGTATTGGACGTGGAACAACTGCACTTGATATTAAGAAATTTAAAGTACCCCGCAGTTTCCTTATGACAAATGGCTTTCAAACGAATCTACTAAATCCTGCTGCGGTTTATAACCAAATTTGTGCGACGTAAACTAATTGAATAATTCTTTTGTTGGTTATCTTACTATTACTGATCCTGATATGAATAGTTTTCGATACTATAACAACAATGTCGTAAGGTGCGTGAAGAATTTCTGTTCACTAATGTCAATGTAGACAAAACTAGATAAAAAAACTACCAAAAAGGCATATGGAAGTGATAATAGAAATTTTCCTGTAGCACTTAAGAATAATCATGTGTTTTTAAAGAAATTTAACTTCATTGATATTGACATTGACACAAAGGAAGTTCGGATGAAATAAATGCGTCCTTTTTAAGAAACTGTTTTGCAAACAAAGCGTTGCCATTGCTTAATATCATAAACACCTCCTTAGAAATGAATATAGTTCCTACAGCCTTAAAAACTGCAGTTATCATACCAATCCCTAAAGTCTCAAATTCAAATAGAGCAGCAGACTTAAGACCAATTAATATGCTAAGTATAATAGAGAAAGTATTAAAAAATTTGTTTACAATCAACTTATTCATTACTTAGAGGAAAATAATCTATTTAATAGTATACAGTCTGAGTCTGGTTTTCGAGGAAAGCATAGTTGTGAAACAGCACTACAACATGTCCTAGATCACTTCAAGCAAAATAAAAATAATAAATTAATTACTGGTGCTCTATTTCCTGATATACAAAGAACATTCGAAACTGTAGATCGTACATTACTTACTTATTATCAAATTAAAAAGTTTTGGAATAGTTGGTGATGCATTACAGTGGTTAATAAATTATTTAGATAGCAGAAAACAGAAGCTAAAGTTTAACAACATTACATCATATGAAATCCAAAATGAACAAGGTGTCCCGCAAGGAAGTGTGTTATTGTTCCTCTTGTACATTGATGATATCCCTCGTGTCGCAGGAAACTGTAACATTATCTTATTTGCGGATGACTTTGATCTATTTTGCTTTAGACAAGTTACATGAAATAATTGAAAATATAAATAACACACTAAATGAAATATTTCGATGGTGCTGTTTTAATTCTTTAAAAATTAATAACAATAAAACTAAGTTCATGATTACAGGAAATGACAAAAACTATCAAGAATATAATATTAGTAACCTAAAAGTAAATATTGAAAATAGTAATATTGAAGTTGTTAAAAAATTTAAATATGTGTGTCATAGTTGACTATATGTAACTATTTAAAGAACAAGCTAATTATGTTATTAAAACAATATCATTTAAAATCAGCTATTTATACAGATGCTCAAAACATCTTAACCAATGGTCTTTAAAGCTTCTTTATAATAGTTTAATTCTGTCCCATTTTACGTATTGTGCCACAATTTTATATTTGCTAAACCAAAATAAAATAAACAGGTTACAGAAACTTCAAAACAGGGCAATGAGGATAATACTTTCTTGTGATAAAAGAACTCATATAAAAACAATGTTACAGGATCTTGAGCGGATGTCAGTTAAAAATTACATTCTATACCTAACATTAATTTTTATTTTTAAAATTCCATTACAAATGATGCCTTCATTACTTGAAAAAATCGATTACAATTTTCAATTTCACAATTATACAAGTAATACAAAAATCGGACTAATTTTCATATTCGACATGTTATAAGTAGGAGTGCCCAAAATTCGGTCTTTGTTAAAGGTCTGCAGGCTTACAATGAGTTACCAGTTGAAATTAAAAATGCTCATTAAATAAATTTAAATATAAACTAAAGAACTATATTATGATAACATAAAGAGTATAAATAAAAATGATTTTAATTGTAGATATAGAGAGATTTTAATTGTAGATATAAATTTAATTTTATATTTTACATGTATATATATTTTTTTATTCATAACTAGACACTAATTTATTTGTTTTTTTTTTTCTATTCATATTTAGACACTATACATAATGTATAAACTATACTTATTGTTGCAAAAACTGTACTGTTTTTGTATTAGCAAAGCTAAATAAAGAATTTAATAATAATAATTTAAATATCGATGTTATGTTTATTTGTTGTCCATTTATTTTATTTTCAACTAAGAAGTTCTTTCCAGAATATTTAAAAAATTCTTAGAAACTCAACTAAATTCACATTTCATTCACAAGCAATTGCCTATGTGCCTTTTATGCAACAAAGTTTTAAGCAATGACGATATGAAACCATCTAAGCTGAGCTGGAGGATCACTTGAGAATATGTCACCCTGATAAAATAGGTAACGATTTTAAATACTTTCAATCACCCTTACAAGAAGATGATGGTTTGCAAGGATCTTACAATATTTCGCTACTTATTGCAAAATCCGGAAAACCCCATACTATCGAAAAAAGTAAATATTACCAGCCATTAAAGAAGTCTTAACAACTGCATAACACAAACCTGCATCTGATATCATTAAAAGAATTCCTTTAAGCAACAACACGCTTCAAAGGCGTACCTATTGATGAAATGAGTTAAGCTTCTTGCGTAATTTTTTGCAAACAACATATTTCTCTATACACCTGGTAATGAAATGTAACAACGGAAGCCTAAAGACCACTTCTAACTACTGATAGGTATTTAATGTTGTTAATATACTATTAAGGGATTAAGGCAGCACTGTCACCAGCCAAAGGGTCCTGGAGTCCAGAAGGAACATCCATTCACCAGTGGAAAATAAAAATAATAAAAAAATTAAATTAAAAGATCAAAAATTATCCCTTAATACCATAGTCGAGCGGTTCTTGGCAACTAGTTTTAGGCTTTTCTAGTCCTAAGAGAATAGAAATGTCGAGGCTTCTCAAATGCTCGGAATATTTTACTGGTTTTGGAAAGGGGAGGAGAGATTAATAATAGGTATTAAAACATTAACAAACGTATATTTAAAATAAGTACAAAATTGACTAATAGTCTCAAGAATAAATGAATCAAATTATATTTAGGGAATAAAGCACTACTTGATAATACAGGGGTCGACATAAGTCTGGCAAAGCTCGAAAGTTCGGCATAACGCTCTCGAAAAAGATTGAAACGAAGCATGTTCGTGCTTCTGACAGTTGTGTCTGTGTCATGATAGAACGTGCTCGTCGAGTAGGCGCGTTTTCAGAATGAATAACCGATATAATTTCACGCTTCAAGGAAAAGTTATTTTGGATAGGCAGACGAGGAATCTTTGAGTAACCCGCACGGTCCTGTAACCTGACCTCATTCTATTTCTTCATGTGGGGCTTTCTCAAGGACCGCTTTCTTGCAAGAGGACCACGCACCCTTCTCGAGCCCCGAACTGCAATTGAAGAATTTGAAAATCTTCGCGGACACCTTAACATGCTTCGCCTGACCTGTCTCTCCGTTGCGAAACGTAGCCGTCAATACATTGATCCGTTTTTATTACTTAAACATTCTGTGGCAAATGGTCACCGTCCGAAGCCATAGCTCTCACACAACACAATTCATTGATCAAGATAGGCATCAATTTGAACACTTAAACTAACCCTTTTTCGAATCCCTTTTGTAATTTCTTCGAATAAATTCATTTTGACGCTGCATTTTTTTTATGCAAGTTTGTTGCCTGACTTATGCCGACCCCCATATATCCAAAGTTTGAATAAAAAAACTATGATTAATAAAAAAACTAGATAAGCTTCCTATTGAATTATATAGTTTGGACTTATTAACAACTAAAATTAGCACTGGAAACTTTAGCTATATAATGATATAAAATATCATACTCGATAAATATAATACTCGGGACGAAAATCTAAAATTGGCATTTATATGTAAATCAATTAATGAAAAAGCCAAACAACACTTTTAAAATAAGTTAAAGATATTTACTTATAGTTTACAAGTCGCTACACAAAATTTTACTTTACGCATTACTTTGTTTCGGGACTTAGGCTCCCGAAAACGAGACGGCGAGAGTCATAGGCTTCAGTCCTCACTCGATTATTAGCATATATGTTCGTTTTATTATGGATCAAGAAATACACGAAGAGCTGCTTTGACAAGAACTTTGAAAACTTGACATTTATTGAAACATTTATTTTCTGAAAAATATGTTGGTGCTCTTAAATAAACAGTTGTAATGACCGATACTACCAAAGACATTTCATTTATTAAAAAAACATATTTTTGATTTTTATCTAGATGACAGAACTCCCATTTAAAATGGTTATTATCGTACTTTTTATAATTGTATATAGACTTATCTTTACATACCAGAATAAGTGTCAAAATGCTAATTTTTTTTAAGGATAGTTGTAGATTAAATAATATTTACATACTATAAATCGATAAATATTTTTATCTGTTTACTATACAACTAATATGGGTAAATCAAGATTATTTATTTACATCTTGAACAGTTGGCAAACATTTTATGTTAAATCTGAATCCCTAATATATTACTGATTTCATGGAATATTATGGAAATAAATTAATGTTTATTTTATAGGCAAATGCGGTTTTCAATAATAATTACTTATGGTTTACCATCCAAAAGCGTTATTTGTTTTAGTAATTTATTACAAATTATTCGAACTGTCAAATCCCGGATTATAACTAATTTTGAAACTTTTTACTGATTAAAAATGAAAATGAAGGTAAGGTTTAAATGAGTGACTGTCCTCGTTCTCATTTTCTAACTCTTATTTTTTTTTTTAATTTTAAAAGAATAAAATTAATTGTTAAAATTGAAAAATTCATTAACACTATCAGAGCAATTTATGTAGAAAAATTATTTATCAACTCATAAGGACAAGTTAAATAATTTGATAAATTATAGTTTATTTTAATTATGTGGAATTGGTCTTGTTATTAGTTATTAGCTAAGAA